TCGGTGTTTCACTCTGTCCGGAGGACACAGCGGGCACCGGATCGCGGTGCTGCGCACTCCCAGGGAGCGCGCACAGCTAGAATTGGCGGGTGCCATTTATGAACGGCAACCTGCCCCTGGAGCGCCACCGTCCTGCCGTTTATAAACAGCAGGCGGACAGCAAGTGGTTAATGATTTCAAAACCTTGTTTCTGCTTGTGGTTTTGGAACAGATACCTATGAGTAGCCATAGTTACTTATTGTATTTCTATACTTTGCTTCCTGCTTAGTATTGCAGACCATGTTTTATTTCTCTCAGTCTGTTAGTCACATCTGATGTTACTGACAGCAATAGGACTCCCTGTAAAGCAAATTCAGTGGTCAAAGTGACCATCTTAGATTCTAAAATAATGCATCAAAACGATTCCTGCACAAGAAATTGTTGTAATATTCACCTCTCCTATGGTACATGCCTCCTTCCTCCCCTCTGTTTCAGTGCTAAAGATTCTGTATGACTCTTTAACATTGTACACATCTGATAATATCAGATGCCTGTCCTGCATCATGCTCTGTGTGTGTGACTGGATATGGGAAATTCAATATTCCTGGAAGTCTCATATGCTGGACAGACTGGTAAAGGCTGCAGCACAGAGATGAAGTCAGAGACACTGGCCACAGGAAACATATGCTACCTTTTTTGTTGCAAGTCACTTCCTTTAGGCCTCCTGCATACTGAGCATTTTCTCAGCTTCTGAATGCCTTTCCTCTCAGCAGAAGAAAAGCTGCCTAAAAAAAATGTAGTAAAAGCCACATATTGCACATGCATTTGTGTGCATTCACACATAGTATGTGTGTCAATGCCAAGGGCGGACTGACAACTCATGGGGCCCCGGGGCAAAAGGGGATCATGGGGCCCCTGTGTCCTTGCCCAAACTCAAAAAAGCCTATGAAAAAGGTACCAGGGACATCTCATGGGGCCCCCTACTGACCCCAGGCCCTCAGGCAGTGCCCGAGTTTCCAAATGGTCAGTCCGCCCTGGTCAATGCATTAATACACGAACGTGCATAAACATGTCTAGTGCTTATACGCATTACACGTTTTTTTTCTGTCCAAACACTCCTCCTCTGAATGCACTGGTGATGTGGTTTTTTTTTTTTTTTGTGTTCTTCTAATGTGTCTGCAAAAATGGCCCAGTGTGCATGGACACATAGGCTAACATAGAGGAAAGAAAAAAAGAACAAATGCATGTAAAAGTGGCATTTGGCTGCTTTTTTTTTTTTAAACACAAAAAAAGGTCCCTTAAGAACTGGGCAAGGTAACAAATGTATAGTTACATTCTTTTTGTGTGTGTGTGATCTTTTAAACTAGAGGTCTACGTTTGGAAGATTTCAGTTGTCATGTGGTTAAAAAACATGTTTTCTGTTTGTACGGTTTATTTTCTGGGGATTAGAAACGGCCCCTAGAAGTGCAGATTAGATGTAGTAGCATTGCATGAAATGTGTATAGGAAGTCCCAGACATCATGCTGTAAGCCCTGCATACTTGAGCACAGGCTGATCTGCTCTGAATCAAGCCTGTGTTAACAAATTTTGATTTGTATATGTGGGTTTCCCCATGTGTTTATATTCAGAGCAGCAAGCTTTGTGTGTCATTACCAAACAATCGGCTAAGCCTTTTTTGATTTGAATGTAGAAATTGACCTAAACGCCATCTCAGAAAAGTAACAAAACAAGTATTTTCCTCTTTAATTTATTTTAGAAACTGTCTTAATAGTTTGATAGTCACACCAATGTTATTTAAAATCATCAGTCTTTGTCATGTTTACAAAATTCAGTAATTGACCCCACTATTTCTGATTCAGTTAGCAACACGGCTCCATGCACACTAGCATTTTTTAAGCTCCTAGAAGCTAAAGAGTGTTATCCTATGTGTCCATGCACACTATTTTAGGCTGGTTACATTTTTCAAGCTTCAGCATTTAGGAACAGAAAAAAATTGGTTTTGTTGAGTTTTTTAGAGCATTTTTTCCATGAGAAAAAAAAATGCTGAATGCTCCTAACAGCTTTTTTTTATAACTTAAAATTTTTTCTACATGACTGTAAAAACACTAATACAGTGCTAACGCTCCTAAATGCCACTACAAGCCGCCACAAAAACGCTGTTTTCAGCGTTTTTTCATCCAGCTTTTTTTTCAAATGTTTTTTGAGCTTATAAAAAACCCTAGTGTGCATAGAGCCTTAAAAATTAGTCATTTAGCCGTGGTTCACACCGGTGTGGCTTGGCCTAAGATTTGACAGTTTCCGAAGTCGCACCTTATTGAAGGTAATGGAACCACTCAAACCTATTTGGACAGTAGTTCCTGCACAGTTTTTTGCAATCTCAGGTGCGACCTCTATAGACATCTGTGCATGAAGTTGTTCAGGTGTCTGCCAAGTCACACCCACATGTGAAGTCACACGATTCAAAGTCTGATCCAATGTGAACCAGATCTAAATCACTAATGATATATAGCAAACACAGCAACTGTGCTATCAGAACGTGCAGTAAATGTCCATTTATCTGAGCACTGTTCACAACATTCTGAGATGTCTTTACATGAAAGTATATTTTTTTTTCTGAAGCCTGTGCTGTACAAATGTTGTCTGCTTGCTGTATAAAATATTACTTCGGTCAGATTGAACAACCTTCCAGGATAGGTTTTCCTCTAATGTGTGACAGTGAGCAACTTCGTAAGCTGGCCATAATACTGATAGATATTATTCCATTCAGCCTCTGGGCTGAACAAACAAATTCCAACCAATTCCTTTATAAATACTAAACAAAACAGATGGACGAACCTTCTGCTGTGACTTTTGTATTCTGACAACTGGTCCCGCCGGCTGTCAAAATACCCAAACAGCAGTATCTGATTGGTAAGTGCTCTTTAGCCAACAATTTTCCTGAAGGCCCCTTTGATGTTTTAATTAAAGGATGATGGGCAGGAGGTAGATTACAGGACAACCATCATGAACTGGCCGAAATTCACATAATATATGGCTGGCTTTATCATTTGACACTAATATTTCTGGTTTTTCAAGGGGTGCATCTGTTTTGGAATTTCCAATGTAAAATTATCAGATGTCCATAAAAAAAGAAGTTGTATTGCTGTGCTACAGCAATGCATTGATAAAAGCTGCAGCATTGATCGGGTAGTCTCTGTATGCATCTCAGGGTGACCCTGTTACCACAAGATCACTTATGATTGAAGCCTGGGTTGTAGACAAAGAATATCTATACTTTTGGTTGCCATGTGTCCTTAAATGCTGCTTCAGATTTTCCACACCTGAATACCTGCTCCTCCCACTACACATGCTGGGGTTCTACTTGCCAGCTCATGTGCAGAGGGGGAGCAGGTTTTGACACACCCTGAGATGTCAAATATCTGCAGCAGCCTGGCACCAACAAAGAGATGGTGTGTGAGAAGATGGAGCAGAGACTAGAGCAGTAAGACTTATTCAGCAGGTACACATAACAGAGTATTTGTTCTTGTTTCAGAACATTCCTGATGGAGTAATATTTTATGACCGTGCACAAAAACATCGCATGGGGTTTTTGTGGATCTGGACACTTGTTCTTACAGTTGCTACATTCAACCAAGAATTCAGAGTAGAAAAGGTGTGTTAAGCAGCATAATTCAATACAAACGAGTATTTAGCAAGGTGGACTAGTTGTATGCTGTGCACCATTGAAATTAATGCAGACAGCAGAATCTATAAGCACTGATGCTAGAAACTCATTTTATCATTTTGGAGGAAGAGAGCTGAACACTGAATGAGTGGAACTGGGGCTGGAGTTTTAGTACCTTCCATCTGCGGTTCCAAATTCTGTTCCTGGGTGTATAAAATGTTTCACGAAGGAAATTGCAATAATTGTGTGAGTTAAACAAAACCTAAATTTAATTTTCACAAAACCCTTACTTACATTGAGATAGTAAATTTTCTACACTTTCTTAACCAATTTATTACCAGTGTGATGATCTATCACTGTGAGGTGCCTCTGACAGTCTCCTTCTTTGATTGTTCCAATATTCAAAAAACAGAAATGGTGGGAGATGAAAATATAACTAAAATATCTGCTCGGTTCACAAATAAGTGTGACTTAATACACAATTTCAGACACTCAACATGACCCCATCCAGTACAAAACATTCTGTCCTGGATCATTTGTCAGGCTCTTTGATTATGATCCCCTTAATGTAATCAATGAACTCTTGTAAATTGGTTAGTGTAAACCTAAAACCAAAATGTAACATATTTCAGCTTACCAATCCTTAAATGTGGTGGCTGCATCAGTGTTCTTTTTTTGTGGCTTTTACCCCCCCTTGTTTTCCCATGGTGATCTGGCCAGTAACATACCTCCTGTATTAAACTGCCCCCATTCTGGATGAACATTATGAATGACTAGGCAAAGGCGGCAGAGTACACAGCAGCATTGTCAGTCTGGAGGGGGAGGGTAATGTTAAATGTACTATCAGATTTAAATACACTAACAAATTGAAGCAAAACTCTAGATAACACTTTATAATCATAGCAAACCGTTTTTTTTTTTTTTCCTTTTGGGATAAAGGTTTTACATATATAAAACTAATCATTGTAAGCACCCCTGTCAGTGATAAATGGTTTGTTTCATTCCTGTAAACTGATTACTCTTCAGAGGGTGTTTGACAGGCGATGAGGAGGCATTATTATACCTTAAAACTTGCAACATGCTACAGCGGCATTGCAACCAGGTGAAAATAAAAGGGAGCCTAAAAAAGAAAACTGATGAAGCCATCACATCTAAGAATTGGTAAGCTTGCAGTATAATAAACATTTTCTTTTGGGGTTAATACCACTTTATTTATGATAAATGCATTTTAATCAGTTTTAATTTTTTTATGTTTCATAATGTTTTGGCAATGACGAGACAGCATTGGCAATGGTTTTGGTAGTACCATGGTCATCTGTACTAATGTTTTTCTTTTTTCCTTTCTTTCCCTATCTAGGTATTCCTAATCTCATTATTTTGGATCCCAAAGGAGAAGTCATTACACGACAGGGAAGAGTTGAGGTTCTTCATGATGTTGATTGTAAAGAATTCCCTTGGCACCCCAAACCTGTTGTAGAGTTAACAGAATTAAACGCAGTGCAGCTGAACGAGGGGCCGTGCCTTGTCCTTTTTGTAGGTATGGAAAAAGAAAGGTGGCATAACGATATTATGTCCTAAGTATATTAGAATGTCACTGCATATGAAGAATACTTGTTAGCAAAATCGAATATATATATATATATATATATATATATATATATATATATACATACATACATACATACATACATACATACATACACACACACACACTGGCCACTTTATTAGGTACACCTCGCTAGAGCCAAGAGAATATCAAAATATCCCCTACACCATTACACCACCACCAGCCTGAACCGTTGATACAAGACAGGATGGATTGATGCTTTCTTATTGTTTATGCCAAATTCTGACCCAACCATCTGAATGTGGCAGCAACCAGTCTGCCCATTTTCCTCTAACCTCTGACATTAACAAGACATTTTCATCCACACAACTGCCACTCTCTGGATATTTTCTCGTTTTCAGACAATTCTCTGTAAAGCCTAGAGATAGTTGTGCATGAAAATCCCAGTACATCAGTGTTTTTTTTAAATATCAGACCAGCCCGTCTGGCACCAACAACCATGTCACATTGAAAGTCACTTAAATCCCCTTTCTTCCCCATTCTGATGTGTGAGCAAGTCATCTTTACCATGTCTAGATGCCTAAATGCATTGAGTTGCTGCCATGTAATTGTCTGATTACCAGTTTGTGCTACCAAGAAATAGAACAGGTGTACCTAATAAAATGGCCAGTGAGTGTATAATGTGTGCTACCATGTGGCTTCCATAAAATGTCTGTGCAATTAATTACATAAAAAAAAAGTGCTTTCATGCTGTTTTCAAAGACTCAACCATGTGCTATTATTCCAGTGATCCTCACACACAGAGAACTTACCAAATAAATATGACCACCCACTATAGGTAAGTCATAATACACTTTTAAGGGGATGACAACTTCCTGACATGCCTCTTGAGAATTTCAGGACTACAAAATGCTGTGTTGAGGCGGGCCAGGGAGTGATGTTATTCCACACACTACACCTGGGAAGTGACGTAGTACAACCAGGATGGAGTAATTAAATATAGTTATGGAGTTGCCCGAGAATTTTAAGTAATTGTACTTTACATGTGCATTCATCCTAGTGCTAGACCAGCACTTGGCCTGTAAGTAGATTATGTTGTTTTATTTTGAATAAAGCGTTTTAAAGTTTTTACAATATGGCGGTCTCCCTCTTTCATGTGTTATGGTTAATGTGGCTGGAATACAAGTGGAACATCTAACCTTAGGATGTGGTGGATGGTGCCATATAAAACCAAGCATAACAAGCATATTATGACTTACCTGTAGTGGGTGGTCATATTTATCTGGTGAGTTCTCTGTGCTGGTGGTGGAGAATCACTGAATAATAGCACGAGAGCACACAGCTGTGTCTTTGAAGACTGCACGGAAGCACTTTTTTGAATGTAATTAATTGCACAGACATTTTATGGTAGCCACGTGGTGGCATACAATATATATGATTTAGTGGACTTTATTTAAAAAAAAACTTTTTATTGTTATGTATTGCACACAGTGATGTACCATCTCTTCCAGGACCCCTTGTTCATCTCCTTGCTAAATATAGTTTTTTTGTGACTTTGGTTGTATGTTTGATTTATTGCTCTGCAGAATGGATAAATATATTTCTAAATATTTGAGGAGACCAATAATCCCGACCAAATCCACAATTCCTTGTTGGGCAATGCAGTCTCAAGCCTGCAACAAGCCTCCACCATGCTTCACTGTTGCCTGTAGACACACCATATGCTTGCAGAATTGTTAAAGCGCAGCTCCAAGAATTATCCTTATTGCCAACTTACAATTGATCCAACTTGGCACAGTGTCATTATCTATATCTTTTATCTGAAGGGCAACTGGGGATGCTGATATCTACTGTTGTAGTGTGCACTGCATACAGTGTTAACTTCGATCTTGTGCAGCTAAAGTGGAATTCATTTTTTAATGAATACAAGACCTTCTTTGGTTGGGCAAGAGTAGATATCGTCTACCCCTTCTCTCGACCCCTTCTATTCTGTGAGAATACCTTATATTCATTGAAAATAATAAAAGGTGTTCTCTGAACTGGCGGTGATGCAGAACAATTATGCGCATGACCCCCTGTGTTCCAAAAGGTATAAGCTGCTGGAACAGAACCCCTTAGAAGATTGCTACTATCACTGTATGTAGTACAGGCTACTACAGTGGTTTTTAAGCATCTAACTAATGGCCCACCGGATAAATCAGATAGAATAATTAAAGATCATGCCATGCTGGACCAACATAAGTTGGCAATAAAGGGGATAATTTTTGACTGTGTGGACAAGTGTAATTTTTGACCAGGCAAGTGTAGAATTGATGCTGTTTTAAAGGCAAAGGATGGACACACCAAACATTGATTTGATTTTCTGTTTCTAGGTTGGTATTTTCCCACTGCAAAACTGGGCCAGTTCTGACATTTCTTACATACATGTAAACATCAGCTTTTTTTTTTTTAACTAGAAAATTACTTAGAAGCCCCAAACAATATATATTATCTGAAAATAAAGTCCCTTGAGAATAAAATGGTGGGCGTTGTAATTGTTTTATGACACATGATATATGTGCAGCATTTTATTAAACGCAAATTATCAGGAAAAAAATACACTCTAACGAATTTTAGTGAACACAGACACAATATAGTACCCATTTTTTGGTAAAATATAAAAGATAATGTTACGCCAAGTAAATAGCTACCAAACATGCATACACCATGGAGTGGCAACAAACTACGGTACTTTAAACTATCCATATGGTATATTAAACTAGCCTATAAAAGGCACCAAGAGGTCTGGTGCTACAATTATTGTTCTCATTAATGTGTTTGTGGTGATACCTCATATGTGTGGTGTAATTGCTGTTTACATATGTCTGCAGGACCTAGGTGCACATGTGCTTTTACATATAAGCACTGAGGAACAGGGAGTGCTTTAACACATTTTTTATTTTATAACTTTATTAAATTTTATTACACTGTACGTTTTATTTCTTTTTATCAACTTTATTGCTATCACAAGGGATGGTAACATGGGCTGTGACAGGTCCTCTTTATGGAGAAATCTGGGGTCTATTAGACCCCTGACCTCTTCTCTGCCCTGCGAAGCTGCCGGTCAAACTGAGATTGGTTTGACCGGCTGCTTTAAAGGCCGGTAACGGCTTGTAAACAATCCAAAACCAGAAGCCACAAGGATTTCTGACATCACATAGGTGGAAGAACCATGGAAGTTCCTCCCACTCTATCTAGTGCAACCAATGCGACTAGTCGCATTGCTCCCAGGCTCCCCAGTGGAAAGGGAGAGCCCAGGAAAGGAGGAGGGCAGGGTTGGGGGACCCTTCCAACCCCTGTAAAAGTGATTGAACAGCTGTATAGCTGCTTGTATCACTTTTAGTTCAACATTTGCTTGCTGAAAAGAATGGTACCGGGGTCATAGCTGTAGCTATGATCCTGCTATAACCACCTCAATATGAGACCATATACAGTTGTGTTCAAAATAATAGCAGTGTGTTGAAAAATGTGAATAAAGCTCAAAATCCTTCTGATAGCTTTTATTTCCATACACACAAATGCATTGGGAACACTACACATTCTACTCCAAATCAAAACATAAAGAAAAATAGATCAAATTTGTGTTGTTCCCCTGTAAAAAAAATTGAAGAAAAGTGAATATTAGACTGTTCAAAAAAAAATAGCAGTGTTTGTATTCTTCTTTACAAACTCAAACATTCACTATATAAAAACTGAAAAATGTTTGAAGATTTTGCTTTCCTTTGAATCACTTAATGAATATTTAGTTGTATAAGCACTGTTTCTGAGAACTGCTGTACATCTGTGTTGCATGGAGTCAACCAACTTCTGGCACCTGTGAATAGGTATTCCAGCCCAGGATGATTGGACTACATTCCACAGTTCTTCTCTATTTCTTGGTTTTGCCTCAGAAACTGCATTTTTGATGTCACCCCACAAGTTTTCTATTGGATTAAGATCCGGGGATTGGGCTGGCCACTCCATAATGTCAATCTTGTTGGTCTGGAACCAAGATGTTGCACGTTTACTGGTGTGTTTGGGGTCATTGTCTTGTTGGAACACCCATTTCAAGGGCATTTCCTCTTCAGCATAAGGCAGCATGACCTCTTCAAGTATTCTGATGTATTCAAACTGATCCATGATCCCTGGTATGCGATAAATAGGCCCAACACCGTAGTATGAGAAACATCCCCATATCATGATGCTTGCGCAACCATGCTTCACTGTCTTCACAGTGTACTGTGGCTTGAATTCAGTGTTTGGGGGTCGTCTGACAAACTGTCTCCGGCCACTAGACCCAAAAAAAACAATCTTACTTTCATCAGTCCACAAAATGTTGCGCCATTTCTCTTTAGGCCAGTCAATGTGCTCTTTGGCAAATTGTAACCTCTTCAGCACGTCTTTTTTTCAACAGTGGGACTTCTTGCAGATAGCTTGGCTTCACATAGGTGTCTTCCAATTGTAACAGTACTCACAGGTAACTTTAGACCTTCTTTGATCTTCCTGGAGCTGATTGTTGGCTGAGTCCTTGCCATTTTGGCTATTCTTCTATCCATTCGAATGGTAGTTTTTCGCTTTCTTCGACGTCTTTCAGGTTTTGGTTACCATTTTAAAGCATTTGCGATCATTTTAGCTGAGCAGCCTATCATTTTCTGCCCTTCTTTATATGTTTTCCCCTCTCCAATCAACTTTTTAATCAAGGTACGCTGTTCTTCTGAACAATGTCTGGAACGACCCATTTTCCTCAGTATTTCAGAGAGAAATGCACTGTAGCCAGCATGTACAACATTTGCTCTTCCTTCCTTAAATAAGGGCAATAATTGCCACCTGTTTTTCAAAGAATGAATGACCTCACTAATAGAACTCCACACTGCTATTATTTTGAACATGCCCCTTTCAATTAGTGATTCAATTACAGAGAATCAGCAGCATGCATGTCATGACTGTTGGGT